AATATTATTAAGTATCTTATATTGAAAAATGCGGAGATAAGTGTCAATCGTTGTTGTGTAAATTCTAGTATATATTTTATCCCAATCAAGGTCTTCTTTTACGTTAGATGAGATCCTTTTTTCTATATTTGTTTGAGACGTTGGTGATTTGAATTTATTTTCGATTATACTTTTATAAATTTCCTTAGTTGTGACTTTATCTATGTCGACTATGTTCGAATCAAAGATAAAAACACTGCTTGTCTTGGTGTTAGAATTATGCGATTTTGTAATTGTTTTCCATTCTTTTGGAATTGCGTGTATTATTCCAGCCCATCTAAGGTAGTGTTTTTCTTGCAGACCTTTATTTTTTACCACTGACCATTCAAAGTTTCCACTTTTATCACACAGATCCCATATTTTGTTTATATTACRYTTGGAGAACTCTCTATAGCAGGTAGATTTMTGATCGATCAGGATATATTTATTGTTCCAAATATGCTGATTGATTATTATTTGCCTTGATACAGTCGATTTTCGCGTACTTGCGATTTTCGCCCATAATGCTAGATTTTGTTGAAACAAATCAGGAACGTCTTTTGGTATCCTTTCTATATTGAAATTTGTGTCTATTTGTTCTATGCCACCAATTTCCTCAATGAATGACGAATATAAAAGCGCGCATGTTTTGTTTTCTTGGTAAGAGAAAACTTTATTACGTTCTAATTCACTTCGTTCAAACGAACGTAAATTATTCTTCTCCTATATTACGAATATAGTAAGGACAACAAACGTTGTTGTAGGTTCGCTTGCGGACCATTATTTATTTCTAATAATAACATGTATATATCATATGATAACATGTATTGTGATATGTCCATTATAGGAATAATGTACGCCTTAACCTAGCGATCGATACTATAACTCTGTTTCCATTCTTTTCTGATACACACTTAAATGTAATAATTATCGATTGAAGTACATGTATACTCGAGTACATAGACTGATATAATGGCGTTCTGGAACGGGACGCTGATATTCACTCTATTAGCCTTATACCAGTGAAGGAATTTATTCGGTGATTTCTTTAACATATACGGTTGCTGTTGATGTCGCTCTGGAAGTAATGTTAGGTTCGCGCAGGTTCTTGAAGTCAGGTTTCAGGTCGTTTGACAAGTAGTGCCATGGAGGGCTTTCAATCATCGCCTGTAAGATATAAAGACACTAAGGGTGTGTTTGAACATACGATGCAATAACCGCTCGCATTCCCGTACTTTCGGGATTCCCACAAACCGCTCTCTCTTGTTTTACCTTCATAGTTTGCCTCGGTACTCTGTACTCTCTCGTGACCCGCGCATTTTTGGAGGAGTCACTAACTGTTCCTGTTGGGTACTACGTCCTCCTGCGTTATCCCAGCCCTTACAAACAGACCCGCTTATGCGTTTGGTTTGTACTATATTCGGCACTTGCCTTCTCTACCTCGTACACTTCTCTATACTTTTAGCTTATATTTTATCGGTACCCTCTTCTGACCAGTGCTTGAATTGGTTCATTTTTGCCTGGTGCACTAGAAGCCTTTCCTCCCGGCTAGTACGTCCTCATGCGTTTACCCAGCACTTTCCAACAAACCTCTGTTGCATTTGGTGACCTACACTTGTTCTCTTACGTGTGGAAAGGTCGCATCTAAATTCTATCAGTGGAGAATTATTCGTGATTCTCGCTAGTCTAAGAGCTGTTCTGCGATAGTATAGTCTCCTATAAATTTCTTGGATTTGTGCACAATTAACGGCCAGAAAACAGCGGACAGCCCGAATGGTGTCACTAGGGTCGCCTTTGCGCCCTGAACTTAGAGGTAGTACAGCACTGACCCTTGCGGTAATAAAAACTGGAAGAACTACCAGGCAGTTTTAGTCATGTCCTCTTTATAGCCTAGAAAAAAGATAATGAGAGCAGTATCTATGCAAAATTATATCTCATGTTGACGTGTCCTTATCGTATTTACTGTAATATGATAAAGATTAGACTCTCATCTACCCACCGCCAAGCCTACTTCACAAACTCCTATTTTCCTCGAACAGTTAAGCAACCTGCCTAATGTAATCAAACATTGTACTAGTGTCTTACAGTTCAAAAGCTCTCTTCAATCTCACTACCAGGCCAAACTTGATCTATACCGACCACCATAATCCTCGTATTTTATTTAGTTTATTATATTGTATTTTTCACTACTTTTTATATTGTAAGGGGGAAAATGTCAATTGGGGTTCAACCCTGTTTTCTCCTCCTGTCGCATTTTTGTTTGTTTAGTCTTGTAATTTATTTGTTTATCTACTTATTTATTATTTTCCCAGTATGTTGTATTTTGTGACAAACCTCATTGAACTAATCTAAACTAAACTAAATTCTCGAGTAAGTTKCCGGCGCGGTAGTGCTGTGCCGGGTCGGGTGGGTGAGCGAATAAGCTTCTTGAAAATAAATTTCTTGGTCCAAAAGCGTGAGTGAATCATAATTGCGCGCTTTCGTTTAAGTACTATGCGAAGTCCCCCGGGGATAGCACGTGCCGAGATAGCTGTTTATCTCATTCTACATGCCGCATCAAAATACATTACAAAATATGCTCCGTCGCGCACCATGCTCCCTTCGGCACGCGCGGGAGCTCCGCTAATATTTCAGGCTGCAAGAATATTTTGTCTAGGATAAGCTGCTTATACCTAAGAAATATGGCTATTGCAAGAACAACACACTCGTAAGAACAAAGTGCCGTTTTACTTGCAGAACTTGCATCCGTAAGTACATAATTTTTAGATGAGTAAAAACAGTTGCATGCAAAATGATACAAAACAAATCAAAACAACTGAATTTCATTTTTGTTTCAGGCAAATTGGGTAACTCATTGGGTAACTCTTGTCCAGCTGAAAACAATACTGCATTACACTGAACGTTAGATTGCACCCAGCGGTTAGCAGTTGAGATTCATGGACATYTCATTCCTCCTCTTTAGAAGGGATTTGTGTTGTGAAAGTCCCGGATGCGACTCCCACATTTGTCTACAGTCAGAATTTCCAACCAAAAATATAATTTYAGCACCACAGATAAATGTTTTTTAAWTAAAATCACAACGAATTGATTAAATCTTGTTTTGTAGTCTTGAAATCGTATAAAACTTTTCCTTTTTTTCCTTTTTTTTTAGAGGGGGGGGGGGGGGGGGGGGAATAGATTGTTTATGCCAGTAGGATGGATCACCCAACGGAATAACCGCATCATAGCTCATAGCGCAGTTGATAGAGCATTGGAAGTGGATTACAAAGGTCAGGGGTTCAATTCGCGTTGAAACCCGCTATTCATTTATTGATAATCCCATAGATTGTTCATACTTCACTGTGAAGATCATAATTCAATTAGATCATCTATAGTGTTTCAGTGGAAGATCCAGAACGTTATCTAATGRTTTTAAATTTGGCTAACTCAAAAGAAAGAAGTTACATCGGATAGCCTATGACTCCAGGGGACTGGGGCTAGGATTCGTCTTTATGTTGGTAGAACACTGGATTCGCGGTTTAAATATGCTTTTAATCCACAAAAAATGGGTAAATAATAGTTGAAAAATTATACTGAATATTACATCATCGAATATYAGCCACAAACAAATTTTATTAGATTATTATTATTTATTATTACATGTTATATTTCTCAAGAAAAGACTTGCACTTATTTAAGTTATTGGCCCATATTKTATAAAGAACCATTTCGGAGGGAAWTGATAGAAATTCAGAGATAATAATTTAATAAGGGAAACCCCTCAGAGAAGAAAAAAGAAGTGAAAATATAAATGCTTCTTTTGTCAAGTATGCCTTGTCTAGAGTGTCAGTAAAAGGGAATGGTTGCATTGGCATTCCTATATACAAATTTATCTTTTTCTTTTAACTTTCAGTCTATGAAGTATTTTGATAGAAAAGAATCACATTTGTTGTCATTTCTTGTTCTTATTAGTGTTTTTCCTATATCCGACTGTACTAATTATTACATCAAATCCCTCGATTTACGAGCTTATTTTCTTTAAAGATCGGTATTTAAAGTATAATTTTTTTTTTTGGAAATTGCATGCTAAATATTACGCTAAAATAACATACGATGTAAATGTTGCGCATCTAATTTCCACAATATTTACATTGTCCAAAAAAATTGGGCGTAATTTAGTGAAAATATTATGAAATTTAAAAGGTATAAATTTCCTGTAAATATGTTTTGTTAATTTTGTAAATATTTTAGAAATAAAATTTACATTATATGTAAATAGTGTAAATTGTACGGAAATCTTGTGGAAATATGATGGAAATCAAATTAACAATTAATTAATTAATTAATTAATTAATTAATTAATTACTTTGTAATTTGATGTAAATATTCTGTAAGTGTTCAAAATCGTCATATTTCCATAAAATCTACACACTTCAAAGAATGCGATTTTTTCAAGAGTGTTGCGTTTTAACCTATATTGTGCTAGGAGATTATTTAGTTCTGAACCCGTTCGGGTTGATCGCATACTCAAATTTATAATAACTTTGTTAAGAAGCATAATAGAATACTTCAATGTCATCTGGTTTGAATTGATATGTCCCGGCCATAAACGTACATTGACTGTGATAACTGCACCCGTCTGGGGGTTGATAGGCACTGGGCTTTGTGTATGAGTTTGTTGAACTACCTGCAAGTTTGGCAATGTAAATATCATAATTACCAAATGTTGGTCCATAAGAATCATCACCAAATATGGCTTTATGGTTGTACTGGCCAGTCAGGTTGAACATAATTGGTTGGTGACCGTTGGTGTTGTACAAAGAGAAAAGAAAAGATTTGCTTGAAAGGACATATCTATAACCTGCAAAACAATGAAATTGAAACTCAAAATGTTGAATAACCGATTTTCGAATTTCACCTCAGTAGTCAAACACAAAAGAATGAGACKGGACACCGTGTATATTGGATTTTCACGAATAACTGAGCTTTGTCCACGGCGCATCGTCTTGATTTCCTTGTGTGTGACTACTAAAGCAAAACTCGCAAGTCGGCTATTCTGACTAACTAGAATATACGAAAATTAATAGAACAATTAATGGGCCTCTTTCTCTATGATGTTATATAATGAAGTCATTTACGCGGTATTTCGAGTAGAGAGGAGGACTGGGCAAAGTCCCATAACTTAACAATGGCGAGATATGACTTAACCGAAAAGAATGTATAAGATCAAGTGAAAAAATTTGTCAAAATCCGGACCCATTCGCTAAAATAAATGAAAAAGCTTTACTATTTCACAATAGTACCCACTCACTTCTCTCGGGTTTTCAGCAGCGCGGAATGCATGAACGGGTTAAGGAAAGGCGCGAAGCGACGTTAGTAGTAATACAATAAACCCATCCAACAAAATTTCCCTATTGAAGTGTGATAGTCAAATGAACAAAAAATAAAACAAATTAATTAGAGAGCGTACTAATGTGTATTAGTGTAATATCTATTTCAAATTTTTTGACTTCACTCTAGTGCGGTTAGACTATACACATTAATTTCATTTTCGAAAGATTACTGGGTCCCCTCCTATGCACAAATGTAGAAATATGCATATCGTTTTACCAGAATGCCATGACTTGTCTGTAAATCCACCAAACACGTACGAACCAACACGAATGATCGTCACACTGGCTTTCTTTCCATCACACTGAGGGTGGAATGTTAATCGCGTATCCCAGCCATCCTCTGCAGCGTGCCAGCATCGTGTCCACTTACTCGTGTTAGCGCCCGGTATTGCAGTAGCTAAGTAGCTGTTCAGGGTGTTGATGTAGTTCTCTCTTCCATTGAGAATATTCGAATTTTCAAGTCCTCCTGTAAAGACCAAAAATGCTGTCATTCTCACCCCGATAGTACTGATACCAGAAGTACATAACCAGAAGTGTCCATCTCCCCAATAATATCGCCACCATCAGATGTCCCGATAATCTATTTTTAGACAACCAATCACAACGCGCGCACAT